TATCTTCTTTTAAGCAAGCACTTATCATTGTTAGCACGGAAACTATCCTTAATTCAGAATTCGCAAAATCATTTCAAAGCAGGCTCTACCATTTTGTATAATTCAATTTATCTAACTTTCTTATCTATATAATGAAGATAATAATATTTATCTCACAAGATTGTTAGAAATGAAAAAAGATAACCTATGTCAATAGGACGGAGTCTTGGTTAATATGCCAGACTGCAAAGCCGTTTGGACTGCAAGGTCAGCAGTTCAAGCTCACCAGTTGCTCCTTGGCAACCCTATACAGGGTCGCTTTGTCGCTATGGATCGGAACCCACTCGATGGCACTTAACAACATGTCAATAGCATAGTGCATTAACGTCTTCAAAGAAGAGCCAAGAAAGGGTGAGTAAAATGCCAACAAGATAAATCTCGTAGGGAAGATAAAACAAGATGTGTAGACAAACACTTTAAAAATTCAAGACGGAAGGTCTGACGTGCTAGGGCCACTACGGAGGTTTTTAGAAAGTGCAACGGGGATGTGAAGGAAGGAGGGGGTCACACTTGTTGGCAGCGGCAGCGGGAAGAGGTTTAGGAAAATTAGGGAGCGTCGGGTGAATCCTCCTCCTCTTCTCCACCCCCAAATATCGGCTCAAAACCCCGGAATGAAGTGCAACGGCTGCCCGCTGCTTCGACTCTAGCCTGGGAGAGTTGTGCAGTTTAGCTGGGTGCGACTCATCTCGCGTACTTAAGCGTGGGCGTCCAGACCCAGCCCCCCCCACCCCCGAAAACCCGCCCACGTCCCCACCACGAACGGCACCCACCCCCACCCCGAGCTCCATGCAGATCTTAACGGGAGACAAGGGGGCGAAGAACGGAACTGCCAAGTTCCCCGCCTACAACCACCTTTCTTCCTCCCCCGCTACACAGTCACCCTCAGTCTTCCAACTCGCCCCCACCCCATCTACGGGACCGACGTCCATGCCTCAGACTGCGGCGGAGCTCCGCATTCCGCCCCCGCTCCCCAGCCCCGGGAAATCCAGCGGCCGGCGTTCGCGCGCTCGCTCATCGATTGCCACTGCCTTGCTCCTCAGGCTCCCGTCTTGGGGAAAGCAGCCCCAGACAGCCAAAGTCCGGCGGAGCGCGGGGCGGGAACCATGGCAGGCGGGCCAGGGGATTGCCGATAGCACGGATGAGCGCGGTTCCCGGCTCGCACTCCGTCTGGCTGGTGGCGGTGGGAGCTAGCCTGTGCGGCGCGAGGCCGGAGTCTCGCGTTCGCTGTCCCCTTGCGTCGCGCCGGCGCGCGCGCAGCCTGTCCCTGACCCAGGGAGGGTCGCCCCGTGAGGGGCTCTCGCGGAGCCAGGGTGGGAGCGCCTGAGCTGGAGGGAGGGAAGGAGCGCACGCGGACGACGCGGCCCCTCCCCTTTTCTCCCCTTCTCTCCCCTCCCCCTCCCGCAGCCGCGGAGAGCGCAGGGAGCAGCCGGAGGCTCGGCGGCGGCGGCGGCGTCTGGCCCCGGCTCCTCCTCCTCCTCCTTCCATCTCCTGCTCTTCGGTCCCTCCATCTGCCGTGGTTATGGCCCGTCGCTGGAGCACAAAAGAGTCTCCGTGGTGGAGGTCTGCGTTGGTCTTGCTTTTCTTCGCTGGGGTGTACGGTAAGTGTCCGCGTCCCTTTGCCTTGCTGCTGACCGAACAAAGCTGGGGCGACCCCGGGCCCCGAGGCCTCCAGGATGGGGTTTACCGGGGAGAGACTTCAGCCTCCTGCGGGACAAAGCCCGCGCGAGGGGTAGATGCGGCAGAGACGTTGTGGCGGTAGAGGATGCTTTTCGTTCACTCGCTCACCTCGGGGTCCCAGAAGGGGGTATCCCCTTTGGAACGGGCGGGTGACTGTCGAACTTCCCGACTTGGGATTGAGCCAGAGGCTGGCTCCTCGCTCATAACCTTTCACACTCACCACACACGACTGTGTATTCCTGTGTATTCGTGGGTGAGAAAGAGGGGTCAGGACGGTCCTGCCACCCACTACCCTTCCGGGGTCAAGAAGTTCTTTCTCCTGTGAAATTCCCATCGCACCTCTCCCTCCCTTAACCCACTCACCGAAAAAACACTGGCTGCTTTCTTCCAACCCGCCACCTCGGAGCAGAGGCTCTGGTAGCGTCGGGCGTGCACGATCCTGCCCTTTCCCAGAAGTCGCACACCCGAGACGGCCAGAAAATAGTTTTCAGCCTCACCCCAGGCGGTGTCCCTCGTCGGGCGCAGATGTCTGCTCTCCTAGTTCTGTTGTCAGTCTTTGTCATCTTTGTCTCCAAAGGTGGTCACTTTGGTGTTTTATTTTAACAATCGATTAAATGGATTAGCTGTATTTTGAGGCTTAGAGAAGACTAAAGATTATCCGTGACAACTAAGGTTGTTAGTTGGGTGACGAACAAGATCTAAATTGAACTGAAAAGAATATTGCTTAGGAGACTTACTAGTTTATCAGTAAAACACATTGATGAGGGGTTTCAAAGCTCTTTACTTTTTGGAGTGTTGCTTTGATTCCTCGAGAAAAAATTCAATTACAGGATTTCATTCTTTGGTACAATGTCCTTATAAAACATCTATGTCATTTGCGATGAACACTAGTTTCACTATAGTAATGGTGGTGGTGATGTTCATTCAACACATAATTCATTAGGAATCATTTCTAAAGCATTTCTTTATGGAGTTGATTGTAATGAGAACTTGTAAAACTCAGAAATTACTCTAAGTGAAGAATTTAAGGACATATTGTCAGCAGGGACCAGTCGCTGGAGAAGGATATCATGTTTGGTAAGGTGGAGGGTCAGAGAAAAAGAGGAAGACCCCCAATGAGATGAATTGACCAAGTGGCAGCATCGATGGCAACAATAGTGAGGTTGGCCCAGCAACGGGCAGTGTTTCATTCTGCTGTGCATAAGGTCGCTGTGAGTCGGTTCCGACTCCATGGCACCTAACAACAACAACAACAACAAAGAAATAGTGGTTTTCCATGTATTTTGGAATATATGACTACATCCTTACCTGATGGATTTCAGGATTTTTTTTTTTTTTTTTTTTAACTTGGGTTGTGGTCCACATTTGTTGTGGCAGTTACCAGTGGTGTGTTTGTGTGAGACCAGAAAACCCAATGCATGACTTTTGATTTTCAGTTGCATCAAGTGGCAGTGATCCCTACTTGCTTGATGACTTGTGAGTTTGGGTTTACACCAAAGATCAATAAGCTATTTTGTTGTTTCTTCTAGCCTGGAGGTGAGTGTAGTTCTGATGTAGGTTTGGTGTAATGATTTACGAGAAAGAAGAAACTGGGAGACATCTTTATCTAGGGTGATTAGGAATGTCCAGTTTGGGCTTCTGCTATAATCATTTGACTTCCTGTGATATCTGATTAGAATACTTAATAAATGCGTTCCCTTAGCTCTTTTATTGAAACTGATGTAATTGGTACTTGGTATTTAAACCAAAATTCTTTTTGCCTGCAGGGATAAGAGGTTGTGAACCTGGTAATTTGTCATGGTGCATTCTTTTATACTTAAACACAAAACAGTGTTGTGGTAGGTGCTTATCAAAGATTTCTCTTTTTGGAATTTGTGCTCAGTGAGGAATTGCTAGTAGACCAAGATTGAAACTCCTTTTCCCAACATTGTGGAACCAAATTATAAAACAAGCAAGTGATTATTCAAAGGGCTGACTTCTCAAGCCACAACAAGTTTTCAAAGTATAAGAAAAAAGGAAGTAGTGAACTGGACAGATCATTACACTATATGGACAGAGATGAAAGGAACCCGTTACCCTGCAGCTGAGGAAATTCTCTTTATAGCTACACTTTTTGTCTTGTCTCTTGAGTGTCTCCAACCATATTTAGGTTCATGTTAGGGGGTAAAAAAGCTCTAACAATAGTATGAGGGGAACAGTGTGCTTCCACATTAGTGGGATTTGTGTAACTTGAACACAGTAGTTGAGATGAGTAATGGATACATTCTGAAAAATAGTCTTCACCTTGAATTTCTTAAAATATACACTAGCTGTAACTTATTAAACTGTTCCTTATACAGTCAAAACTATTTTGTTTCTTTTTTAAAATTTACATGTAAACTTCAAAGATGATTAGAAAGCTGTGAAAACAACTGATTATTCAGAGTAACACTTAATGAAGACCTCAGCATAGCATGGAAGCAGTTGATTGTTAGTACTAAGGGAATTTTCCATGTTAATTCTTCACCTAGTGACTGTTTCTTAGCTATTACTGCAATATTCAGTGGCTTAGACCCTCAAGGAAATGGATTGACTCAGTGGCTGCAACAATGGGCTCAAACACAGTAAGGATTATGGGGATGGCGCAGGATTGGACTGTTTCCTTCTGTTGTATGTAGGGTCAGTCTCTGTAAGTCTGAACCATCTCACTGGCACCTAACAACAAAAATTCAAGTTTTGCCTTTGAATCTTGAAACACTTATATAACTTTAAAAAAAAAATCTGTTTATTTGGTTTTTGTTCTTGTCTCATGATCATTTTGGGTCATGTGTGACTGTTATATTTTCAGGTTACTTTTTTGAATTCCAAAATCTTATTTGAAACCCTCTTTCAATTGTGCATTATAATAGTTATTGGTTTTTAGACAGAGTCTTGGTGGTGCAATGGTTAAAGCATTTAACTGTTAACTAAAAGGTCAGTGACTCAAAACCACCGTGGGTCATGGTGCCACTGGAGAAAAGACCTGGGGATCTGCTCTCTTAAATTTTGCAGCCTAGGAGAAACCCTATGGGGCAGTTCTACTGTGTTCTCAAGGGTTACTATGAATTAGAATCAACTAGAGTGCACACAATAAAAATGACATTTTCTGGAAGTCATTGTTCAACGACCAGTAATTACCTTTCAGGAGCTGCTGTATCTTAGCAGAATTGAATGTCCCTCAGTTAGGAGGAGAAAGTAAAGGATCGCCTCTGCCTTTAGAAATGTGAAGGGGTAAGAACATTAATGGGGGTAAGACTGAGCTTCACTAGGCTTTGTCTTGGGTCTGCTAGAGTAGAAATACTTCTTCTTTCCCACATAAGACTGTCTAGCTTTTACAGATGTACTGAGGTCTCCTAATCAAAGATGCTGTTAGTCATGTTCACTTCTCAAACCATAATTTGGTAATTTTAACAGTTTCATTGCCTTATGCCCAATTCTGTTTAGCTTCTGTTTCTCCTAGATGAGTGTTTTCACCCTTGTATTTTTTGTACCCAGCCTTTACATTGCTTCCCGTGTATGTGTGTATGTATACATACATACATACACATATATATAATTTGTACACATAAATACAAGGAACTCTGATAGTGTTAGTAGTTATGAATTGGGCTGCTAACCTCAGGGTCAACATTTTGAAACTGCTAGCTGTTCTGCGGGAGAAAAGTGAGGCTTTCTGCTCTTGTAAAGATTTACAGCCTTGGAAGCCATATACAGGGTCGCTTTGAGTCGGAACTGATTCCACGACACTTCACCACCACACACACATAATATTATACATAAACTAAAGTTTTAAACAGGAGTCCTGGTGTGACACTGGGTTAATGCACTGGATTGCAAAGTCATTTGAACTGCAAAGTAGGCGGTTCAAGCTCACCAGCTGCTCCTCGGAAACCCTGTACAGGGTCACTATAGATTGGAACCTATTCAGCTACACTTAACAACAACAAGAACAACAAAGTTTATAAAGTAATACTTACCCAGCTTATCTGGTGTGCATGCTTATGTTTTCTATTTACCCACCTTGTCCTTTGTTTGCTGTTTGTATAAAAACCATGTGGGAGCAGGGTCTGACTCCCTCTGACTTCACAAGGGGAAAGAGAATAAAACTGAAAATCAGCCCAAGGCCAATTCCTGGGGGGGGGGGGAAATCTCCAACCTTCTTTACCCTACTCTGATACTAACCATCCCTCCCACAGCACTCTCTGTTTCACATCTGGATGTGACAATCCATTGCAATAGCCACACAGAACTCGTAACAATATTCATGATGATGGGATTTATTATGGATGTGAACAGGTTACAATTCAGAGTCAAAACTAACTTAGGATGCTGCAGTTTTCCAATCAAGAATGCCTCTTGTTTTTGGCTTTTCAACCATGTGACCCTTGGCCTCTGCCCTGCTTTGGCAAATGTTACAAAGCTCTTTTAGCCAGTCTATTCTGTGAATGCCCCAAGGGCACATTCTGCAAGCCAGCTACCTGTCCACGGGCTCTCAGCATTACTCAGTTCGTGGGCCTAGAACCCGTAACTGCTCTATCTTTCCACACCACTACCTCTGCTATCACCTGTGTTGTTGCCGCTTTTCTAGGTAGGGATCTCACACTCCACTCATGTTCTTTCTTGATGGTCTTGGGATTGTGTCTTCTACTTCTGGATGGCTCCTTGTAAACCTAGTTGGATGCAAAACTAACCAATCCTAGTCTCAGAATCCTGTATACCTTATTTGCATGATCCCACGCAGTCTCTTGGTGGGAATTAAGAAGATGTTGGATAGAAAAGCCTTATCAAGTAAATTAAGGTACTATAGCTGGTTTGGATTAATTAAATTAATTTTGGATTTACTAATAGATTACCAAAGGAGCTCTGGTAGCGGTTACGAATCCGGCTGCGAACCTTAAGGTCA